TTTCCCCAATTTATATAGTAACTTAAGTTAAGTCCCTTAAGTCCCTATATTCCCCCAGTTTCTATTTCATGTTCCATTGACTCTCCATTTTAGGGGGATAATAGAGCAACCCTAAACCCTACACCCTGGCACACTAAACCCTTCATTATTGGGGTTCATATAGCTTAAATTAAGTTTTTTACAGCAGCCCAGAATTGCAAGGCCTCACACCAACAGAGCAGGATGCGATTTTCCAGCGCTTCGACGCTGCCACAAGCTGAGCAGCGCTGGCTTGGAGGTTGGAAGTAGATCATAGTATCTTATTGTATTTTGTTGTAGCAAATTATAGTAGATTATCGTATATTATAGTCTATCAACAAGAGATATCTAGCCCTACTAGTGCCGGATGGGTGTAGGCCGTTTAGGCAGCTGTCCTGCCCAAAGCAGTTTCTGGTTTGCATGGTGGTCCGATACCAAAAAGAAGGATCAGCTTCCAACCGTTCAAGTTTTTCTGAATGTAGCACTGGCAACCTTCTCTTCTGAGGATAACAGCGGCAGCGTCTCCTGGGCAGAGTTCTGGAACACCATACAAGGACTCGAGCGCGAAACATTGGTAGCTTCAGCATCAGGTGGTGAGGTTCTTCTCATGGATTGCGCTCATTTTGGCAGGTTTTAAAGTTAAAAGACTTAGAAAGGAGTTTCGGGAACTAGGATGTAAGCTCACAAACTTGACTCTGCTGATGATGGCAGCTGCAGCCATAACAGAACTTAAAACCATGAAAGAGACGAACATGAACAACCAGGATAGCGGGAAAAGGATTAGAACCGCATGCAAGCAAACACGGCTTTCATCCAGGACCTGCTCAGCCCGCGCTGAACCAGACACTACCTCCGACAACTCCGGGGGCACTTTTGGCGCCGCTGCAACCAGGTGAGCCAATCATGCCACTGGCATTGGTTACAACAGGGCTTCGCGGTTGTTAGTTTTTGTAGCCCTGTTGCTTGCACACGGGATGCTGAGCGGAACTTATCAGCTTGTCGGCATGCAGCGCAGGAAGCCGTAGGAACCGGTGGTTAGTAGGGAACGCAGGAATGGGTTACAGGAACTAGTAGGAGGGACTTTCCTAGGGGTGCACTCCTCCATCCCGACTAGCCACTATTAAGCCTTTCTGATGTTTTTTGCTTCTTGGACCAGGTCTCTCCACTTCTGCGCCAGCCGTGGACCTGGCAGTTTTGAGAGACGTAGGGCAGGGCTCATAGGCGCACGAGGGATATATGCAGAAGTACAGAAGGGTCCTTTCTGGCAATGTTTATAGAAGCAAGTTTGACCAATTCCCAAACGGAGACTGCTACATAACCCCCCTTTAATGAGTTTATAGACTACAGCTCATTTTGAGCACTAACAGTTGTCAGCGCAGATTCTGGCCCTGCTAATCCGCGATCCTACGTTGGACAGATGCGCAGGAAATATCTCAATATAAGCTATAGTTTAGGTGGACCCCCCACCCAGTAATAGTGACTATGAGGGAAAATCAGGAATATATCAGGGTCTTCTTATATTCCTGCTATATCACTATTACAGAGTAGGGGGTCCCCCTAAGCTATAGTCTAGACTCCTGCGGGGATGGTCATACCGGCGGTTCTATAGGGGATCATTCAGGGCAGTCCGCTGCCTCAAAAAATGCTATAGCCCTTCATAGTCCCTCTATGATTCCCATTTAGGCTTCCTGCGTCTTTTCCGTGATATTCCCCAAAATCCTATATACAGAACCCTAGGTACCCTATATACCCCTAGAGTTGAAACCGAGGCACAGGCAGTGGGAGTCCAAGCTGGTGGCTTGGAGAGGACGTTGCACCCACAGGCCCTTGCAGCTGTGGGATGCACCTGAAAAGTTACCACCCAGATTTTTAGGGGACAACGTCGATTGAAGTCGAAGGCTAAACCAGGGTTCCCGTGCTGTTCAGAGAGGCTATTGACTGCAGCCTTGGAAAGCTTCAGTCAGGAACTGCAGCGCCAGCGGGCAGTTGCGGAGGCAGGGACATGAATAGTGAGGTTTACCGCATGGCATCCTGTCTGCCCTGCAAGGATGTACTCGGCCGCATGGCTGCGACAATTGCACGAAGTGGGCGCAGGCACGACAATCATGTGCTAGCCGCATGGGATGGCTGTCTTGAACGGTGTGTTGTGTGCACGGGCATTTCATTGTGCCAGAAGTTTTCGTCATTGGGGCACCCTGGTGGTGTCGCAAGTACCCAGACCTCAGGCTAAGTGTGGATGTGGGCGATATCACCCCGTAACACAATCACGTATTCTACTACTAGAGACATTCACGAGCTTTGTGTTCTATTTGCTTGGCTCAGGCCCCTTGACTTCATCACCAGGCTTGATGCGCGTGCCGCAACGGTCTCCCGTTCAGAGTGCCGCCCTTGGAAAGAGATTCTGCCATTTGCCGCACCAGAAGACCGCTCTGCGTCCCCTGCAGCCTCGCAAGCACTAAGCCAGCATGAATCACCATGAAATTGCCTGCATTTGGGCCTGAGGGTGGAGCAAACATTGTTTCGCCTCGAGCCAAGCACTCAGCAAAAAAAGCATGGTCCTGCTCAAGGCGTGCCAAACTCGGCAGAAGTTTGATGTGACTGGCAACGGCGGTTTCCTTGATGCTTCATGCCTTGTGAGCCAAAGGCATTCAGGTTCAGTCTAGAGTAGTCCCCAATCAAAAAAAACACAAGCCCATCTTTTGCGGTCGAACCGCAGAAGGAGTTTTTGTTTAGGCCGCCTTCTGCGGAAGGTGTATGGCTGTTCTTGTACCTTTTGCTAGCTGCTAGCTCATGCCCAGGCCAAATCTGTCCGCGTACGAGCGCGAAGCTGTGCTGGTGCGGCTGGGTGTGGACCGACCCTTGTCCTGAAGCAAAACTCTTCGCTTGCCGAAATTCCTCAACAGAAGTATCTAGAGCTAGGGCCAAGTCTTGCAGATTGTATGTAAATATGTGAGTTGAATGACAAATTAAATTCAAACCCGCGGAGTGCCACAAATGAATTGCGTGCAGACCATGCAGGCTTCTGAGCTTCTGACCATAGGAGATACAGGCTCCAGCAGCAGGGTAACGTAGCATCAGCCGGGTCCTGTCAGTCGCACGCATAGCCAAGCTAGACGCGATGTTAACGGGAATTATCGACCTAGCATCTGTCCGTCATGCCTGGCCATCACGAAGGCTTGCAACAAAGAGGCCCAGACATCAAGCTTAAGCTGTCTGGGCCAAAGAGCTTCAAAAAGCGCCTGCCAAGAAAGGAAATGCTGGGGTGGATGTCCTGGATTTTTGTCGGATTCTTGGAGGCCAAGGGGGGCAGTCAGCATTTGGCGCAACTGTACTTCAGCAGGGTCGAGATACAGATCAGGAGTTGCTACCTCTTGGGATCCCAACTGTGCCAACTTGAGCGACATCTGAGAAACTCTAGTAACTTATTGATATGGGAAATGCTCTGCTCAGACAGCCTCACACTGTGCTTGCTGAGCCCGTTCGTGTAGCCCAAAGCCAGATCCTAGCGTGGATCCGCGCTGCCCAAGGCAGTTTGGTGTCGAGATTAGGTGTTTTTATCCCCACAAGTGTTGATGGCTTACTTGAAGCTATCAAGGCCTTCAAACTAAGCATTCGTCCCTCAATGAGAGGTGATTTGTCGCTGACTATCAATCCCAATGCTTCCTGGCAGCAGATGCTACTGTGGCAAGCTTCCGCGGTCAAGCAACAGCACCTTTCTGCCTGAGGCATCCTCTATGCCACAAGTGCCAGTGGGGCTGGCTACACAGGCCCTGAATGGGAAGATTAGAGGATCTGCAACTTATGCGAATTTCGCACAGAGCACAGGAAGGTAGGGAAGGACCCTGCATTCAGAAATCGGCATTGGACTCGGCATCTTCAATGTAGATCGAAGTCTGATTATTGGGGTAATATTGGGAACCCTAGTAGGTTCCATTTTATTTTCCATTATCCCTATATTACCCCTATAAAAACCCTATTAATTGGGGCACCCTGCTTTGCGGCCCCTGTTCTGTCAGGAGCTGCTGCGGCAGGTTTCCACAGAGCTGCGTCGGAATGGAGCTCCGGCCTGAGACCGTCCTTGCGCAGTGCTAGCAAGAGTGTGAGAGGGGAGAAGAAGATTGGAAGGAAATAGAGAACAATTCTAATTGCAAGGGATATAGACAATACAGTCAGAGGGGGTTAGAGAATAACCGTTCAAAAGACTCCAGCATGCTCTTGGTCCTGCGGCCACATGGCTCACAAGTCGAAGCTCAGCGCTTTTTGCCCCTCGCGGGCCGCCATACCCCCCAAGGCGCCAGGAGAAGAACTTCAGTGGGGTTTCAGGGAAGCAAAGTGGGTTGAGGATCCTAGCTTAAAAACGGCAAGTACTCGTATCACGTGTTGCTCTGAAGTTGTAAACAACACGAGATAGTGCAGGGGTCGATTTGCGTGCAATAGGCATAGGGGTGGAGGAAGGTCGCATGCGGTCAGCATGTGATGGGAAGAGCTTGAGGGGTTGACCTGACATGTGTAGCCGTTTTGGTCCTGTCAGTATGTGGATTCAACCAGTATTCAACCCTTGCAGACTTCTCAGAGGCCACCTGGTGCAGGACAGAACCACATCAGCATCTCTTCCTGAAAGTCGACTCCGCTGTTGGTCGTAAATCCATTGTCGGCAAAGACTCATTGTTGCTCAAGAGTTCCGATCTTGCGTAACAGGCAATAAGGGATTCTGCGACTGCAAAGATGGGCCTAAATACCGGGCTGCTATGATCTGAAGATGCCCCCACCATGTTTATGTTGTCCAATGCTGGTGCCGTAAAATCTCTTCCATGGAATCCAAGGGTTCCAGACAATGACAAGAGCAGCTAGCAATTTGCATATCTCCACTGATCCGCATCCTCCTACCATCTCCAACCTAAGACAAAATCACACAATCGAGTCAAAGCTCCCACTCTCAACCTGCTGCGCATACGATGGGTAGCTGCTGTGCTTCAGCACCCATGGGCGGCGACTCTCACGCTGCTTTTTCAGCTGCATCTGGCGGCATTGAAGAAGCCGACCCACTTCTGGCACCAAGCGTGCACTACCTGGAGACCCTTGGTTGAACAGCTACCCTTGCACAAGACAAGCCACCGCCACTTAGACTTGTTGCTACTTCTGGAGCCTGAGCAGGGGTTCATCCCCTGGTTTCTCGCATGATTCTGCTATTAGATGAATTTTGGGGGAATCATGACTGAGCTTGCTTTGCCCGTACGCAGCCTGTACGGAATGAGACCAGGTAACAACTAAATCCTTAAGCCTTAATCCTTAAAACTTGAACATGAATCCTCAAGTGCCGGAGGAGGTCCTACCCGATACTCGAGACTTGTCTGGCCTGAATGCGGCAGGGTCGGGCGAGCCTCAGGGCCCTAGTACAGCTGAAGGGTTCCAACGCCAGAGTCGACAGCTTGATCTTATTGTCCCCCTTAAGTCGATAGAATATGGGGCATATGGGGATCTCATTATAATATACCCAAAGCCATGTTCTATCTACTTAAGGGGGACTCTAAGGGTTGGCTGTTGGACCATGCTTTCAAGCATCTGCAGCACCGACTTTCTGGACACAGGAGAAAGGGGTCCCAAGAACTAAAGGGTTGCAACCCTGATCCCGAATCCTAGCCAGTGACAAGGACAGGCTTCAGAGAGGAACTGCAAACTGCGGGCTTCAGCGGCGCCTCTCGCATCCATGACCTCGAGCAGACGCTGCTCCCTGGGTAGATTTCACTGGGGTTTAGGGTAAACGGTTCAGGGTTTAGGATCTGGGCTTAGGGTGTAATTATATAGGCGTCGTATGGGGTCATATAGGGGCTATGTATAGGCTACCTTGCCTGTCCAGAGGGTAACCTTTAACTGTAACTTTAGCCCAAATAGATTTAACTGCTTGTACAGTGGCTACCTGACGCAAAACGCGCGGGGGGGGACACCGAATGGGCAAGGGCGCCTTACAACCTTTTTGGGGTAGCAGAAAACCCAACATCAACAAAAAGGTTACCCTTGGGAAAGCCCTAGATGCTGGACAATTAAATTATACAGGTGGATTTTCCTAGGAGATACACACATGGGCGTTAATCTTCTCCCAACCCCCATCTAGTTGCATTTAAGTTAAGTACAACAGAACCCTGAACCCTAAACCCTATGATCATCCCAACTGGAATTTTAATCTCCAGATGTGGTCAGGATCCGCGCCAAGGGAGCGCAGGTCATATGCCCCAGGCCGGGCTATTCCCTGGATGATGTACCCATTGGGGATCATGGAAAAGACAATGGCAACTACTATATACTTGGAGTAGGATTCGATTGTGGTTTTCTTTTTGAGCGTAAATAGGGTTTTTTCAGGAAGATCTGTGAGTGTACATATTTGTTGGTCAATTTTGGGTAGCACATTTGAGATCGTTTAAGCAGTTTCAGATCCCCTTTGTATCTTTATACATTATACATTCTTGTAATCCTCACTTGAGGGACTCCCATGCTTTTTATGGAAACCCCATGGAGGAGGATATAAAGGGAGGAAAGAAACACAGAAGAAGAGTTCAGCCTTGGGGCTTACAGGAAAAATGGGGCGTTTCGGGTTACATGAGGGCGGTCAGTGCAAAATGGGAGGATTCGGAAGACATTCGGAATCTTCAACCGCGAGTTCTGGGATTAGAATGGCAACAGGAGATTTGTCAAAGATCCGCATGCAGATACAATTAGGAAATTCAATCCTACGGACCCCCATGGATAAATTGCAGCAGTATTGTAACAACATGTTAGCAACAAGAAACAAACAAACAAGAATCTCATCAAGCCTCTGAACCCTCTAAACCTTAAATCATAAAGTCGGCCGGGGCTTGCAGCCGCAGGGATGGGCGGCTTGGTACATCCTTTGTCGACACCTTGGCGGGTATTGAACCTCAGCATAGATTTCGACAGGCCGCAGGCCTCTAGCATCCTGTAGTTTTGAGTAGCTACCATAACTAACTAGCGGTAAGTTGAGAATAAGGGAACGTAAGCCCTATATAATCCCTGTATAATGTATTCCCTTTCCCTACTAACCCCCAATAAGATAGTGGGAAGTACTGAATACCAATTAGGGGCTGGGGATGCCAGGGCGTGATTCATAATGGGGGAGGGGATTGCTTCAGATTGCTGCCGCTTGTGGAAGGCTTAAGGACCTACACACAAACTTCTCCAGTGGGTGGAATAATTCAGGGAATGTATTCTATAGTGAGTATAAGGCGATTCGTTTTTCCTTATTCCCTACCAACCCACCAGTAAGCCGGTTTGAATGTTTGAGGACAACGTGGGGCATGCCACTCACATGCTCTCCTACACGTGGCAGTACACCGTCGACTGCGTCGTAGGCTCTTTGGCCTCCTGGTGCAGCCAGAAACGCTTCCCACCGGAGCGCACATATGCTACTCTAGCGCAAGGAGAGGTGAGACTGCTGCCTTTGCTGAAGTAGGTTGGCAAGTCCGTGCAGTGCACATGTTTTGATAAGTTGATTTGAGTGATGACGCAGTGCTCAAAGCAGGTCTGCTTTCCAAGGTGTGGATGTGCTTCATGGGAGTGAATCAGCACAGGATCCAGGACTTCCGGGTCTAGCTAATTGTAGCTGCAGGGCTGTTCTACCATCTGCGATTCAAGCCTGTCTGGTGATGATGACTTTGTTGGCACAAAGGGGCTGGTGCCAGGAGTCGCGGCTTGCTGGCTCCGATGTACCTTTCGAGGAGCTTGCGGCGACATTTGGCGGTCGCGTGAAGAGCATCGGCAGCACGCCCGCAGCGCCCGCAGCTTCAATTGCCTCTATCGACGCACAGCACCTAGGACCCAGCATTCTCTGTATCTAAGGCAAGGTGATTGCTCTGATGGAACCATGGAGGGCACCAAAGTACTGTCAGCGGGCTTGGTGCGTCTTCGAGCTGCACACAGCTTCAGCGCAGCCCGCATCTTGGACGTCCCCAGGGTTAGATTTTATACTACGGTCTTTACTTCACCTTGGTGTTACACAACATCCTCAAGTCCCAACAGCAATGTGAGTGTTGGTAGCAGCTCATCTCATCTGAGGAGTGCTGTCTTGAAATCATAATGCCCCCGGCAGAGGCGCGCCTGCCCTGACTGAGCTGGCAACTACCTGGGTTATAAAGGGATAATGGAAAGAAAATTGAAAATACTACAGTATACTGGGGTTATATAGGGACCTATACATTCCCTAAACCCTATAGAACCCCTTAATAACCCTGTACACACCCTAAATCCTATAAAATCCCCCAAGATAGAATCCCTAGATGAGTCTCCATCTCACCATCCGACCAACTTGCCTCGGCGAGGCGGAGAGCTATGCCCAGGCAGTGTTTGATGGCTCCGGTCTGCAGGATTTCCACTATAATGGGATTAGGGTTATATAGGGATTATATGGGACTTAGGGTTATCACCCCAATGATGGAGAGTCGAATGGAAAAGAAAGTGGAAAATGAAAGCAGGATGTCCACACATTTCCCAGAATAGGGTCGTTACCTGAGGGATAATGGAAAAGAAAATGGAAGCTACTACATTATGAATTATAATTTGGGCGTTTCCCAAAATTCGGAGGACCGTATTCTAGGGCTCCCAAAAAAGGTATCTCTAATTTTGGGAAACTCCCATGTCTCTTGGCAACCACTGGACATGTGCAAAGTTGAGTCTCCTATTTCTTTGCATTATTCGAGGAGCAGTGGCGGACGCTTGCCCAGACCCAGTTGCAGAAGGCACATCGTTGTGCAGACGCAATGGTGTTGTGCAGTTCAGTATGCTGGTTGTGCCACACACCAGCGCCACCAGAACTCACGATGTTCTTGTGGTTTTCCTTATTGTTCCTGTTAGAGTTGTGACATGTGGCAGGTAAGGCCTCACCCCTAGGTCGCGATGCCCAAGCCATCCTAAACCTTAACTTACTGGTTCTTAGTCGGCAACAATGGACAAATATAGTCCCTATATAAACCCTATGAAATGTATTCCTTGATTCCCCACTGAGAACCAGTAATTTGACTACATCCAGGCTCAAGCATCTGTGCCTGCGGATCGGGAGCAGATCTTCCATCTTGTGGAGCACAGCCCGGGCTTTGCAGAGCTCAACCGCAGCCTGGCAAGATTCTAATTGGTTCTTAGTAGAGGATAAGGGAATACAGCCCCCTGTAATATCCGTATAAGACATATGATATTCCCTTATTCCCTACTAAGAAACGGTAAGGAGTAGGAGGAATGGGGTTCCCAATACACATGGGCGGCTATGAGGAATATTCAGGGGGTCTGCTGCTGCTGCTACTGCTGGTGGTTCAAGTTAGTGGAAATGAATGTATCACGACCGCATGGACTTACTCATCATGACTCTCTGGTGCTCGGTAGGAGACGGGCGAATAGGGTAAAGCGACTTTAGTATCACAAGGAATTATGAGGGACTACTGTCAGACTTCTAGATGAGTAACCCCTACTCCTCTGCCATAGGCCATAGTTACGAAAAGATATGAATTGCTACACTTCTAGATCAGGGGCTTGTTGCAAGCACCGCAGTCTCTTCAGCAGTGCCTACTGCCTGGCGTCTCAAGCTCAGTCAGTTGTTGCTAAAACTTCTGATCTGCCATACCCTTGCAAGGTCTGGAAAGTAGTCTGACCAGTAACAGTCAGCACGTGAGGCTTGTCTCGAAATTTGGATGTTGCCCTGAACGGTTTCATCCAAGATCCAACCAACAGCCCAGTCCAACGAAAAACTCAACCTGTAGCACGTCACAACATTGAGATCTTGTTCGAGCGGTGCCCTCAAAAGGTGAGAAACCAAAACACACCATCTTCCCCATGAAGTCGGGACAGAACCCCATGTATGCCCCTAGATTGCCCCACATGACAGCGACTACGGTGACTTAACGTCTCCGAGCAAAACGAATTTGATGCACTTGATTGCAGGGACACCTTTTAGGGTTCGGGACAGAGAGATAGGGACAAACAGAAACCTCAAATACCCTCAAAAACCAATAAGCATCTACCCATTGTCTTGGGGTTCGAAGCTGCTGTGTGCATTTGGGAAGTCGGTCTTAATTGTGCTTAAGCTGTTTTGCAACTCCTGGACGTCCCATGGATCCTATGTGAGAGTTTCACAAGGTAGAATCCCTTGTATAGCGTTTGGATGCTGGGATTGCCATAGGAAAACCAGAAGAGGATAAAAAATATTGTATCATTTGTATCATTCCAGAGGCAGCGTTTAAGGTTGGGACGAAGCCTTTAGCCTCAATTCAAGGTTAAAAGGCCCTAAAACCAACCCAATGTGAGCAATAGTCTAAACTCCTAGTATCCCCCTTATAACCCCTATAGTTGTCCCCTATACAATCCCCTATATAACCCCCCATTTAAGGAGTTAGATTATGGCTCATGTGTATCCAAACCTCTCAGGTAGTGTGGTGCACAAGCTTCAGAGTTGGTTTGCAGAGGCCGCCCATGTGGCCCGGCATCTATTGAGGTTATATAGGGATAATGGAAAAGAATATGGAAACCCTGGGTCCCTGTAAAGGGATATCTAGGGTTATAAAGGGGTGTATATAGGGATAATGGAAAAGAAAATGGAAGCTACTTTAGTATGATAGGGTTTATATTGGGGTAATATTGGGATAATGAAAAACAAAATGGAAACTACTATATTATGATCTCTTCCGCAAGAAGTGGGTTAGGACCAGATCAAGAACCCAGCAGACAAGCAGAAGAATGACAGCAAAGACGGAAATTCTGATGACCTTCCCAGTGCATCAATAACAGGCATCCCACACCGGAAGCCCCCTCAACTCTAAACCCTAAACCCCTAAACCCTAAGAGTTCGGATTCTAGCAGCTTCAAAGGTTTGTTGCGCTAACACAAGGCGGCTGTTGTTCATGGGCTTTGGTAACATGAGAGGCCTGACCCTGCTTACATACAATGTTAGACGAGCTATATATAGTCTAAACTCCTTAAAGGACTATATAGGGGATGTTCTAGGGGACTACTATAGGGGACTATCTTAGACGCTAGCTCATATACCCACTTGCCACAGTCCAGCCCTCGCCTGAATGATTTACCGGTTAAGGAGCAGGTCAAGCGGAGAATCGCAGCAGCGAAGTCAACTGAGCTTGCCAAAGGCTGTCTTCAGGCGCATGGGCAAACCTGAACAGCACTGCAGGTGTATAGTAACATTGGCGTAGCGCAGGCTCAAGAAGGGTAACATAGGTTGAGAAGAGCTTTCAGAGTGTCGCAACCTAAGTAACCTAAGTCACTACCATCGTGCTGGTGTGTGCTTAGACGCTCTTCAGAGCACAAGTTCACACTGGACTTTTGCAGGGCTTTGCTTTCGGGATTTGGGGTAGTCTTCGGCTGTGCGATCATGGACTTGCAGCGGACAAAGGAAGTACGTAAGCTTAGGTAGCAGGGTACTTGTTTTTGAGGCTTCAATTGTTCAAGGACTTGTGGCAAAGCCTGCTTCTTTTTCATTGCTCACGCAAGGGACCCGTTGACTTGCCTGGGTCCGTACTTACTTACAGTGCCATGTTTCCTTAACCACTGCCCCGGATGGATCCTGACGAAGGTGGCTGAGCTTTTCCGCTCCCTGGGCCGGCTGGATGCAGCTGACGAGTTGCTGCTGCCTCTGGGACTGCTTTGGCATGCATTTCCCGCACAGGAGCAGCATGAGACTTGAAATAGGCATATCTACCACAACAGATATTAAGCACTGCAATATTAAAGGAGGCCAACCCAGGAGGCTTTCTGTTACTGCAAGGCCCGGACTAGTTGTGCTCGTTGCGCTTGTCTAGGTCTAGGACTTGCAGATTAATTCCCCAAGAGAAAGGAGATTACAAACCCAGCGCACTGGCATTGGCAATTTGGATTTGGATAGCTCTGGCTGGCATGACCTGCAGCTTGGACACATCTTGCTATGCAACTGCCAATGGCTGTCCCAACGGACTGCCAGACTGATGGGAAGCTCTAAAGCGTATTGCATGAAGTCGGGCCTAGTGGAGCCGCTTTGCACTGCAAGGTGGGCCATCCATACTCTGGAAGCAATGGGCGAGCTGGATTCGCCATTGTATGCCGCTGTACTGGGTTCGAGGGGCCACGTTGCCCGCGCGACTTGATTTCAATCATGTGTGCACGGTGAACGCCAAAGTTCTTGCAAGAGCTCCTGAAGCCTCCTGACGCTAGAATAGGAACCCACGTCCATAAATTACGTGGGAAATATGAATGCAAGCTCACATGATTAGCACTACTCATGCGGCTAGGAACGAGGAGATATGGATGGGGCCACGCAGTTGCTCCTCGAAGGCTATGGGATACTGCAGCGCTCTGACAACTTGGCATCTCCAGAGGCTGCGCAGGTTTGCACACGTCTCGGACCCATGGCTGCAATGTTGGGGCAAGGAGATGACATATATGACATCACGCGCGTGCTGGCAGAATGAACGCGCAAGGTCATGTGAAGCTGCAAGGCAAGGACTTGGAGGCCGCTGAGTCATTCTTCAAGCAGGCAGGGCTGTGTACAGCAGCATGAGGAGCCAGGAGCGAGTTCAAGCCCAAATCTGCCCAGGCTTTGCGAGCTCACCAAGACTGCCAGACTCTGACCAGCTATGATGGCGGTCTGCTGCTCCAGCTTCCTCCCCCGCAGAGAGTAACAAGGGCCCGTTTCCAAAATTGCCTCGCCAGGGAAGGTTCCATAGCAACACAGCATCTCAAAGTCATCAGAGCAGATTCCACACCGCAGGCGTCATTGGGTGAAAGCCACTCGGCACCTGCTGTCTCAGGTCAATGGGGCATATCCAGCGCGAACGGCAAGATCTACCTGGAGCGCTATCAAGCTATCAGCAGGCCAGGTTAGGGTTGAATGCATCGCCTGCCGTGATGTGTCATACTTCTTGTCTTTCTAGGAATAATTATGCAAGCTTGTCCTGCCCGTTGGCCCCCGAGGCTCAACAGACACTGTGCACAATCGAGCATCTCGATTCGCCACAGGGCGCGGCATTGCTTGCCAGTATGGGTCACATCAGGCGTTTGCAGAACGATTTGGAAGGAGATGGGGTTTCTTGAAAAGCTGATAGTGGAGCCACCCCGGTACCCATACGTACTTTCGGTGTACAGGTGTCTGCCCACATCCCAACACTTGTAGAGGTGGTTTCAATCTCCAACATTCTATTCCTTCATTCCCTGCCTAATCTCAGAGGGTTCAAAAGGTCGAGTAAAGCAAGGTGGGGTATAGGAAACAAGCCTCCAGATAGCAGAGTACCTACCTTAGACCTTCATCCCACCTTTTGAGCCCCCTTGATAATCCCTGCAGTCGTTCCCTTTTCCCTATGTAACCAGCAGAAAGCCGAGTGTGATGGGAGCTTCCAGGAGCGTTGCAGTCCTACACGGAAGCACGGCAGCTCATGGTCTCCGGGCTCCAAGTATGAAGTCAAAGAAGTGATGAAGGGTTGAGATGTTGGGGTTTCAGAGAAGGATCCCATCATGAAGGTTGCATTATTTGTGAGCATATATGGGAGGGGGGGTTGAGATATTGGGGTTTCAGAGAAGGATCCCATCATGAAGGTTGCATCATTTGTGGGCATATGTAGGGGGCGCGGGGTGCAACTTTGTCAATCGTGTGGTTCCTGGATAAAGAAGGGCCTCTATATTGTATTGAGTGTACAATGCATGTACCGCAGATATACATATATTTGTATGTGCATATATTTGTGTATTGAGTTACATGTATCGGGCACGAAGTAGACGGGGCTTGCAGGCTTCCTTCAAATCCATTACGCAAGTTGCAGCTGGTGCCCATGCAAGGAATCCATTGGAACTTTTCAGACTGTAAACGGTGCTGCCCTCCTGGTCAACGTCGGTCATGTTCAGCGTTCTCAGGGTGAGCTGGATGCGGCCCTTGCCACCTACAAGGAAGCGCGAGACGTGTTTAAGGCTTCTGGGTCCTGGAACACACCGGCCGCGCAGGAATGTAAACGCTTGATTGGCATGCTGACAGCATGAAGAAAAGCTGCTTCTTGCATTGTTTGTGTAGGACTTGATGGCAACTGTGTATCTGTGGGGAGCCCTGCAAACTGGGACTCGAAAATGAGTCCAGCTGATGCAAGCAAAGCTGGAAGAGGATCCGTAAAACAAGGACCTGCGACAACGATTGTTTATAATGCGGCTCACATATTTGCGCAAGAAGTGCAACCTAGAAAGTGTAAAGCTTTGTCCGTCAAACGGCTGGTTTTCCATTCGATCTGCCTGGGAGATCCTCAGGGTAAAGCCATATGGTAGCAAGCTCCATGGTGCCTTGGAGGTTACCCGCTGCACATGACCCAACATGAAGGGTCGAGTCCACGCCACACGTGCCAGCTGCATGATTGCTGTACCTTTGGACGCTTGTTCCTGGTTTGTTGCAGGGGTGTCCCCAGGTGCACCTTTATTAGTTAACGCTTTGACTCTCCAAATGTCTGTGACAAGTACGCGCATTTGGGAGGCAAGTAGCCTTTTGCCAGCATCGCCTCCTGTAGATGGCCTCCCAGAGTTGGTGTGTTTAAACATGGGTCCCTGGTTTTGCAGGTTCCCGCATGAAGGATGAGGTGGTCAGATAATAGTTATTTATGGATTTAAATTTTGGAACATGTCGACATGGCGACAACATGGGCAGAAGCAGACGAAGCGACGCTGGCAACACGTTGACCCAGCTGTTGGATGTTAGGGCAAAGCCCTTGCAACATTCAGCCTGAAAGCCTCGCCGACCAAATGTATGTGAGGGATGGAGTAGAACTTGAGCTGTACCAGGGGACTATGTTGGGCCATTGCAGAATCCAGAAAACACGACAGTGCTGAACAAGCTGGCAGATCAGACTTCTATCGTGACTTAAAGCATGTGACAAGCTGGGCTCGCCGGATTTCATACTTACCAGTTAGGGTTGCGGGTGTCTTACATGAACCGTATGGCATACCGGCAATAAGATTTACACCGGTGCCAACCAGAAAGGGAAGCTTGCAAGTCACCGACATGAAGATCCCAGCAGCTTGGGTACTGCCCCCGCTCTGTAACAGTTGGAGAATACTCATGATATGATTATATATAGTCCTTAAGGAGACCCCTAACATAAACTGACCCTTATAGTCCTCCTAAAGTAGATAGAAATGGGGCATATGGGGATCTGATTCTAATATACCCAAAGCCATATTCTATCTACTTTAGGGGGGCTATAACCCCAAAGATCACAAAGTAGCTTTGAACTACTCGCAGCCTACCTTCCCAGAGCTCAGTGCAAACAGGCCTTGGGGAAGGGTCACAGATGGGGGTTTCCCAAGATTAGGGGCACCTTTTTGTCCCATAATAAGGACTATAGCATTTTAGGGTCTATATTGGGGTCTCTTAATTTTGGGAAACTACCAGACAGGCCTTGGGGAATGGTCAACACAGATGCAGTGTTTGTACCGGTGGCGGTCGGGACCTCAGCCAGTCAGCAGAGAAGACATTAATTATTCAAAATCCTCAAAAAAAGTATGTGCAATCACTGGAGTACTCTACGTTAGAATGACCAGATCTCTGATCTCGTTTTATCCCACGTATCCCCTATATAATCCCTATCATAATATAGTTGTTTCCATATTCTTTTCCATGATTCCTATATTACCTTCCTTAATCCGGGAGCTTAGGCTTTTGGGGAGCTTTGCGCCTAGAACTTCGCGAGCTGTACAGCTGCGGTTCTTGCGCAGCCAGGCGCTGCACCGGCAATCCATTTTAGGATTTAGGGTTAATCAATGGATTCATGGGTTACCATCTATATAACGCAACACCCTCACCCCGCGATTGTGAAATACTCCCCCACTATAGTTTTGTCATTTCTGAACCGGTACACGGGGAGCGTTTCGTATACGGCGGGAGGGTGGGGGGGGGACGTGATCACTTGGCTTTCGTCTTTTATTATTAGAAAGCCACCCACAGGCTTTATTTCAATCAGAAGACTGTTTTATGGTCTCTGTTTGGGTTGGGGCAGAACAGGTGCATCTACTACTACAGTGAGCGGCACCGGTACTTTCAGTTTGCCAGTAGTCAAAACTAAGGTCATAAGCACCGCATTTTGACTGCTATTTTTTTGCAACCGAGTATGAAGTATGAAGAATGGAAGCTTGGACCGCGCAGCTTTTGGCAGGAACCCCTTGTCGTGTCGCACGGTGTTATTTCAAATGGCGACTGGCTAACTTGATGTGCTGAAAATTAGCAAACCCTAAACCCTAAGGACCTATTCCTAAGGGCACCTCCCAGTTGGCGCTCGAAGCACTGCTTCCTATTTGATTTCCTGGTTCGCGAGGGCGCGGTGTCCAGGATGTGTAAATTCGCAAAACGAATGAACCACCGAGCAGGTCCGTGAGCCCACAGGAACCAATGAATCGGCAAATGCATCGTTAATGAACTTGAATTAAGTAAGCTATGAATTAAGCAAGGCCCATTTGTTAGTATATGTCCAAATTCTGGTTACTTAATTTCCGTAACAGCAACCCTGAAGCTCTGGAGGCCCTTGCACCACGGCCGCGGCGCCCCACACGGCCCGCCGGATTCCCGTGGAGGCTGCGCGAGGCCCACTGCTGGGAGGGGAAGGTCATGGACCTGTAGTCCCCATATACTCCATACTCTATTTACTTCAGAGGGACTATAAGCAGGCTTGTAGGTCTGCAGTAGCGCTACTCCTGGGACTGGAGTGTCCTGACTTCATGTGGCATGATAGCGTTTGCTTACATGTCCAACATGGCCCAGACTACCGGTTTGCTTGGCAGGAAGCTGCTCCAGCTGAAACACTGCTGCAGCGGCTTCGAAACTGGGGTCATCGGCACTCCAAGGCTATTGGCTTTGGTGGTTATGCCGCATTCTCAGCCGTTGAGATGCGCGGCAGGTGGCCTAGACATGACTGTGGCGAGTGAGAGAACTTGTTGATTTGCCGGCTTAGCTATAAGATCAGACTGCCGAGGTCCTTCTGACCGTCCAGTGGTGCATGGATGACGCAGCCTGCTCGCAATTTGCAAAGGCATTCACGAGTCCAGATTCTGTCAGAAGTCATACGCAATAACATAATCAAGAGGGTGCCGGCGTGCACATGGAAACTAAAATGTTTCTTGAATGGCTTGCACGGGTGATGTGATTGATGTGCAGCTTCTGCAAGTGCATCGACACATCAAAAATGCTGCTGAGGTGCTGCTGCTACGTTGCTTCGGGGTAGCATGCGCTTCGTCCATGGCGGTTTTCCTGCTGCTTGCCTGTGATGGCCCTTCCTTAGGATGAGAATGGCAGCACGTGTAATTGGATGGCATGAGACCCTGACCAGTGGCGCACCAGAGTTGCTTGAGGTTTTGCCAGCCAGTTCCTTTGATGGTGCCAGTTCGTCCGGGGCTTAGCTAGGCGGTGACACACCTGCAGCTGCCGCCAGCTGATTACTTTGCGAAGCTTGACACCACGCAGGTTTCAATTTGCTTTTCATTGCGATCAATGCCTACCACATTGGCAAAATCTTGATGCACCGCCTGGGCCACAGTGACTTGCAACAGAAGGCTGCAACGTAGCAGTAGGGAGCCGTGAGCAGAGTAATGGCATACGTGTGGAAAGACCTGGTGTCAGGACGCGACCTCAAGTTAGACGAGGTCGAACAGATGTTGTGGGACGCTGGCTTTAACGCCTTCCTGACCAAGGCAAGGCACCCCTGCGTGTCAGGCATCAATCAGCAACAGAAATTGCAAGAGACGGAATCTCCGGCAATTTCACTGAAGGACAAAATCAGCGCGCACACAGCAGCAATAAAAGCAAGATTTCTGTTAGGAGGCCACCGACGAGAAACGCCCATCACCTGAAAACCATCAGTGCAAAGGAGATTCAAAGGATAAGTTTTGCAGAACTCATGCAGCAGAAAGGCAACCACAAGCAAAACCTGAATCAGGGGCCCTATTCTCTTGGAGCTTCCAAAGCTAGGTGGTTCATGTTCTATGGGGTTTTGGGAACCTGTGGAGGTTGAGCTGCGCGAGCTGCTCACTGAGGGGCGTCGATATAGAGCAGAGGAGGGCATGGTGGCCCAGCACGATTGCTGCTAGAGCCTAAACAGTCGCTTCCATTTCATGTTCCAGGTTGTTTTCCATGTGGTTCTCCATTCTCCCTTTATCTGCGCCCCTAAATCCTATACATCGCTTTGTCCGCCCTCCTTGGGATAACGCACCGAACGCGAGGGGATTGTAGTAACAACGGACGGGTGGGGTCCATGCAGGTTTCCAAGATATTCTGGGTCCTTTCGTTGGTGTCCACATAATTGAGGGGGACCTCCTGTTGGTATATGACTGTACAACATTGTATAACTAAAACCCCCCCCATTCAGAAAATGGACTGTGAGCCGGCGTAAAGGGTGATGAGACAAACCTTCTTGAGATCTTACGTTGGGATGCCGATAACCTGCACAGAAGCTGAACATTCACGATCCAAGACTCTGCAGAATGAGTGCGTATAGCTCTGCAGTTTGCAACAGGACCCTGCCCTAATGACTCAGACTTGTGCCAGGTGGTGGCAAAGGCCGGGATGCCGGTCGTGCAAAAGGTGATTGCCCTCGCAAAAGGAGGACTCCCATCTAACGTTACACGGCTTGAGCGAGCGGAAGATGACTCTGCGCTAACAAAGATGCAGGCATGATCCCGCACGATTCATTTCCAGTAGTTGCTGCAAACTTCCATGTATGTCACTGGCAGGAATTGTGCAGATGCAAGCAGGGAAGGCCATTGCAACAATGGCGCCGCACCCTCAAGCACTCTGACGGTGCAGCTGCTTTGGTATGCGGCTGCAGGAAGCATGCCGGTGTTCACAGCATTAATTACGCCAGGAACAAAAAGGAGACATTGAGGCTTAGGCTTGTTTGCTTTTTGGTATCCGTTTGGCTTTTGGCAGTTTGTGGCTTGTACTTGTTTCATCTTGTTTCTATACGCCAGGAGCTACAAGGATCCCCCCAGCAAGTGCGCCAAACAGCAATACAGTAACGCAGAAACCGAATCGCAAACATGGTAGTGTCCCAAAATAAGGGGACCCCAATATAGACCCCAACATACTATGGTCCTTATTATGGGGATCCCCAAAAAGGTACCCCCAATTTAGGAAACCCCCACATCCTGTGAATCTGGCTTCATGACACTATACTTACCTTTGCAACGCGGAATCGTTCATGAGACCCGCAGGGGTTTTCGGGTAGAAACGTGTTCCCAGATGCTACACCCTAGAATCAGGTGGCTTGTTTTGTAAGATACTCAGCGGAGTTCGGGAGCCCCAACCCCAACAAATAGGGGCCTATAGCTATCGCATGTTTACCAACCGGTTATTGCGGTTGGGGTTCCCAAAGTCCTTTTACTGCCTCATTCCTTGGAGGCCCGGGGACTTCTGGGGCGAATTCCAGCTCGTGGAGCGAGCCCGCAATACGGGCGTGAAGCACAAGGCCTCAAGCGTAATCTCCTCCCAAAGGGGGTTTAGGGTTTGGGGGTGTTTGGGGTTTAGGGTCTAGGGCTTATGGAATTGGAAGAGAACATGGAAACTACAATGTTCTTTAGGGTGTGGGGCTTAAGGACGAATAAGGAAAAAAAACAATACTAAACAACCCCTCCGCCAATATAGATAGTATCATTATATTAGGTTGAATATTTGTTAGTAGGGGGAGGTTATTCTTCGAGAGAGGTGATTATAACGTACATGCTTTGTATTTTATATGAGCTACTGTCACTAGTATATTCCTTAAAAGGAACACATGTCCATGAAATTGTGTATGAAATATTGACTGTAGCTCATTTATGGAGTTTGCAAAACTGGCGCGGGCCAAATGTAGACCATTGTAAAGATAGGCTTCCGCCGGCCATGAAGGGTGGTTCTCTAATCATAAGCTCCGCGGCCTCCCAAAACAACCAGGATTTAAAAACCATAAGGGTCTACCAAGTAAATCGGGGAAATACTTTTTTTGTGGGTACTCACCCAAACTAACATGGAAGCCCATATAAACCACTTTCAAAGGGAACCGTAGTCTTTATAGGACCGGATTTAGGTTTTCATGTTAGTTTCCGGTAATGTAGGTCCTGGAATCCTGGAAGGATTGGAACCGGCTGGCCGGCCTCTATTCTTTCCTAATGTTTTTCACTTATTGTGTTTCCTGGGCAATTATTGAGAATAATCTTTATTTTTCTAGGACCAGAATCCCTATATTCCTATGAAGCTAGACACATTGAATTTCCCAGCTGGAAGCCTCTCACCATTTTGTTCTTATTCCGTTTGGGGCACAAGTTCCCTCTCTTCCGTTTCCTTTTTTTAATCAAAGCCAAACGTTATGAGCATATACATCTATATACGTACACCTCTCTGTATACATTTGGCAGAAATGCTTTTGGCGGCGGTTGTGAGGATGTTGGAATAGGTGAGACGAGAAAAGGGTCTTGAAAAGGAGCCAGAAAACAAGGACCTGCCTCACGGGTGACACATTTGTTGAAAAGACCGGTAGGAAGAAGTTTGCAACCCCATCGTGCTTGTTGGTGCTTGGTGTGTTGGGTCCTCATGAGTTACCATGGATGTAGGGGGCTTACTCCCACAGCATCCCCGGATGCTTAAAATTGATTGAGATTCATGTCATGCACGCTACTTGTGCCAATTAGTAGTTGTGCCGAATATGAGTACCCTAGTTGTACCATGAAGTGCTGGAAACAGCACCTCTAGAAAGAAGTTCTGAACATGGCAAGTGCTCGACAATGATGAGAAGAAATTCAAACATGCCGTAGCAGCCTTATGACTGTAAGCTGGGCAACGTGGGCGGCGGTTGGACGAAAGGTAATGAGCGATCATCAGATTCGCCTTGCTAATGTAGAATTTTTCAGATAGGAAAAGCTTCAATCCCTTGATGTCGGTCTGACCTTCTCAAATCCTGACCCTGCCGCCGTCATATGATGCCAAGATCTTGCCATTCTTCATATTTGAAAGCTGCTGCGAGGTCACGACCGTGTTTTCCGAAGAGCAGCTTGCCTGCATCCGCGGTTGGACGAATGATCCGGAGAGCATGTGCATCAATTGGCAAACCTGCGCTAGACATTGTTTCATCCTGCATCTCCATATTGAGACTGGCTCGCATCGCTATGAAACCGAGCCATGGGACCGCCAGACTTCGCGCAAATTCACTGTCAGATTGTCCTGGCAGAGGTTTTTCAAAGTGATGCCATTCCTTAGGTCCTATTCTGGAGTCATAATATTGAAACGTAGCCAGATCCTTCGGCTCCGCTGAGTTCCATCGCTGTTGAATGGGATGCCGCAGAGCTCAACGACTTCCTTTCCTCCAAGTCCGCTGCTTAGGGTTTAGGATTTAGGACTGAGGGTGTTGCAGTATCAAGCTTGGATGCAAACTAGGATGATTTAGCAAGACAAGGGCATGTTACACCAGACACCAATGGGGGAATCCCTCCATTCTCACCCCGTAGCGTCATACACCTTTAGCATAGGATCCCAAGGGGTGACAATCACATCAAGAGTACACTGCACCAAAAACGGGCCCATCTGGAAGATACATTCTATGCTTGAGGCCGGCTCTGAAACATAAGCTGCAGGCCTGGGCTGAGTTTGCATGCTTTCAAGTCCTTGGTTAAGCTCAAGGGAGCGCTTGCAGGAGCTCTTTGCCGAGGGGCTGAACTTGAAGCTGGATAGGCGCAGCTGTGCAGTGCCAAAAGCTTCTAGTAGAACAGCAAGGACCTTGATGTCTACAACGGCTCCTGTTCAAATGTCTGGCTAGGCTACTGTGCAGCTGCAATGCAGACGCTGCTGAGCGCGCCTACGTTGACATTCTGCGAGGTATCCTGCGGGAGCCTTGAGCAAAAGCAGACAAAGTGCAATGACAGTGGCTGGGAAAGCTTCAACCACATCGAATCCTGGCACATGTTTGGCAAAACAATACAAAGTACCTGCTATGCTGAGGTGCAGTGGGCAGGGCTCCATAGGCTGGGCTTGGTTGTGGCACTTTGTAAGTTGCTAGAGGACATTTGAACTGGTGGTCCAAGTTGTGCAGTATGCATGCAATGCCGCGCCGTGAGGGCTGTGATTCTGAAGCCAGGAGAAACCGAGTTTGCCTTCCTGAGCCACGTGCGGCAGGTGAATAACATCCAGCATGCATGCTGCTGCCTCAGATGCTACATAGGATTACAGGGCATATGACATCTGGAGTTTCTGCAGCTGTAGATAGGTAGCTTCACTACTGTAGCAAACATTCCCTATGTTTCCCAAACTTTTTGTCTCAGGTCATCTAGGCGCGCTGGAAGAATTGGGTTTCTCGGAGAAGGACCTGTCGATTGCATTTGCTGACTACTGAGTTTGGGCTGTTGGGTTTTCTTAGGGGCTTGGCAGGCCTCGGGTAATGATAGTAGTCAGCTTTGTGCATCTTGCAGGCACGGCAAGGAGGCAAAGCGAATCTGAAAGCCTAAAACGATCTTGACATCTTGACCAATGCTCCTGTTCAGGAGTTTGCCGATATGGTTCGCAAAGGGCGACGCCCCTGGTTCCTGCGATGGATCCAGTTCGGTCGCCGGGGACCTAGCAATCAGCACTCCTCCCCATGCTAGCAGCATGTGATTTGCCCACAGCTGCACTATTTTTGTGCGTACGAGTGGCGTACGCGTAGCCGTTGTTGACCATACGCTGGTTACAGCATGACAAGACTGATACAGATTCTTTCCTGAGCTCAGGAAGTCGCAGCTCCCTGATGCACTGGAAAGGCAGAGATATGACTATCATATAATAGGGTAAATATTGGGATTATATAAGGATGATGGAAAAGACAGTGCAAACTACCATATTATGATAGAGTATATATTGGTATTAAGCTTCCGCCTACTTCTACTGCATTTGCCGCTGTAACTAAATTCCTGACTTCCCCTCCCCCCTCTCTATATACCCCCAGGTTCCATTTCATTTTCCATTTTCTTTTCCATTTGATTCTCCATTCTTGGGTTATATCCCTTAACCCTTAACCCTAAACAAGGCATGTCTATAGATGACTGGTAGTATTCAGATAGTTCTAGTTGTTTCCGGACCGTCAGACTTTGCCGTGCCTGCTTGAGCGATGCGCGTGTCTAAACCCTATCAAAGGCCAGTGTTCGTGGCTTGTAGGTTTGCAGCCTGAGCCAAAGTACAAACGCTTCGAGCCAGCCGCTGCCTCAGAGGGCTTGACTCAGCAAACTTTCCCAAAGCTTCGCTGGTGTTAGATGGGTATTTTATGTTACAACATAGTAAAATATAGTGCAATATAGTAAAATATAATACAATCTAGTATATCAGAGTATAATATAGCATGTTATTACCTGGCCTTTCGACTTGGCGTTCGCTACAAACTCTTCTGCGAGTGAGGCATTTCTGCCGGTGCAGACCCCGTGGTATTGGCCAGTTCTTGACGTCCATCTCAGTGGGCGCAATGACGTCGGCTGGTCTGACTCGCCTTGCAGGCCTTCAGGAACTGGTTTGCCCATGTGCTGGCTCAAGGGTCTCATGTACGAGATTAGACTATGCCTTCAATGAGGCTGCTACGTAAGTCAAGACATATCATGGAGACACGATGCATACATAATTTCAATCTCGACCTGTGAGCTCCCCAATGATTGCTAGCATGCGCTATAGAAGCCTTGGGGGTTCGTTTTCCTGTCAGGAAACCTAGAGGTCGGTAATCCCTTCAATCTGGTATTCTGTCAGCAGGGAGTTAGGGATCATTCAGGACCTGTTTTTACGCATGGTCTATATCTCATGGCTTTAATCTTTGCACGCTTCCTATACAATGCCTTTACTCCCTTTACACTCAAGACAAAATCCATTGAAACCAAACTATGGGAACCCTACTGTACGACCTGGGGCAAGGCCTGAAGAGTTGAAGCGGCGCATCTCCAATCCGAACGTCATGAAGGCATTCGAGGTGCCTCAGTCTGAGGGGAAAGTTCGCTAAGACCTGCTCTGATGATGATGGAAAGGATGGTGTGAAAACGATGATGCTGCAGCCGTGCTTGTGGTGGTGGTGGCAGAGTTGGTGGTGGTTGCTGCAGCGGTGCTGGCGGCATTGGCGGTGGCAGTGGCGGCGGCCTCGCGGACGCTGCCACTGCCGCTGCCAGTGGTGGAGGGGGTAGTAATGACAGTCATGGTACTAGAAGCAGTAGTAGTCGCAGTGGTACTAGTAGTAGTAGTAGTAGTAGAAGAACCAGCAGTAGCAAGCGGAGGTGGTGGTGGCGGCAGTGGAAGTAGAAGCGGGAGCAGCAGCAAGGTAGAAGCAGAAGTAGAAATAGGAATGCTACAATCTCATAGTTGGGTGCGGTCGCTTGTCCTAGCGCGGTGGTCTGCGCCATGTGTGCGTCAGACTCTGTTAGATGGCGCACCGAAGAAGTGAGAGCATTTTTGGATACTGTTCTTAGGATGCTGATTCCAAAGTTGTCCAGTAGGATCGTAGGCTGTGCCGACACTTGGAATACGACACTGGGCGAGGTGTGGAGACCCAAGAAAGCTTAAACAAGCTTTAACAGCAAGCCTCCAGAAGTTCGAGCGTGTTAATCAGCATTGGCAGGAGCCGCTCAGCCCCTTGGGCTACGGGTTGGACAATCGAGTTCATGCCCCGACCCCAGCCAAGGTGTGAATTAGTCGTAAGACATGAAAGGAGAGCATGCTCAACCATGCCTGGGGCGTGATGGCTGACAAGGATCCAGAAAATGGTCTTTATCATATCATGTCTGGAGCAGGGGGAAGTTGCCGGCAATGCTGCCAGGTTTGGGCGTTTTAGGGCATCGGTGCTCGCACCATGCTGCCTGGTGCTCTCATCAGCAAGGCGCAAGCTTGCTTCTGGTGAAGTCCCGCATGGCTTCGGTCAGCTCCCTGCAAGGTGGTGTCCGCGCCGATGACGTGGAGCCTGCAATAACCAGACTCTGTACTGGAGACCTTGCCGACGGGGAACTCATGAAGGCTTACAACCCAAAAATTACAGAGTCTGGCTGAAACGCAGCCCTTCCGATTCGCCTGCGCTGCAATTTGTGAAGACACGCACTAGTTTCAGCAGAACTTGCAGAATGCTCTTTGCCGGCTAAGCCCGCAGGCAAGATGGAAATTGGGATCAGTGACTTTGGCATAAGATGGTTTTGGTGACGGCAGGTTCTGGGACTGGCGCTCCATGCCCAAAATGTGATTTCAAAAGGGCAGAGCCTCAATCCGATGCTTCAGGCTGCACGAAGACACTGTAGCCGTGATACTGCCAGTTGGATCAAGCAGTCCACTCCGTGTCCAAGGTTTGCTGTAAAAGTTGATACTGCTATGGTCCCCATCTAACATACTGAGCTACCCTTTTTGATTTCACGAATGTTTCTGAGACCCAAGAGGGAGTCTATCTCATCGCACGCAAAGACATCAAACAACACCGTCCAAGTCCCACCACGGAGTCGCCCTGCTTTCCAGCACGTTTCTTTCTTTTTTTGATGGCAACCATCGGCTGCCGGCACATGAGCCGCATGCAAAGGCCCAGCTGCGCTTACTTTCACAAGCAGCGTCCCCAATTTGAAGGTCCACATCAGGATCCCCAAGCCTTTTGGACCCCGCATTTGAGGATAGAACTACAAATGGTTTAGATCTTGCTGAAACCGAAATATGCGGCTTGTGTTAGGATGTACATGAGGAAGGCAGCCGTAGCTTTGGGCACAGGCTCGGGTGTCCAGCAACGGCTTTCACCCGCGCTGCTCAAATATATGTGTTCCTGCTAGTCACCTGCAGACGCCCCACGTCACGCATGAGCTGTGCGCGAAGGCGCCGCTAATCAGCTAATCTTAATGGGAACAAAAGTCCTTGCTCGATCTGAATCTGAAGTCAGGCATTTTGTGGTTTCGTGCTGGGTTCGTACTTGAGGCGCCTCAGGGCCAACCCTGGCCTTAGCGCAAGTTCAACGTTGGTAGATGTCGCTGTCTCCAGATATTTGGTCACGCTTGGCTTGCTGCCTCCGGGGAGCGTCTTGCGCTGTGTTTTCAAGATGGCCCCTGTGCAATCTCGCAGAACGGTGGTCTCCAGGTATCCTCAAGGCTTAAGGTCCGTAAGGTTTTGTGCTTGGAAACAACCCCCGCTGGAAGCATTGCATTCATTTGAGGTGGACGCTTCGACACTCTTCCGCAGCCTGGACATCAGTGGTGCGGCCCTTCCCCCAACTGCTGGTTTGAGTTGCCGTGGCGTTTACTGTGAGTCCCGTACAAGATAGCACCCACTGCCCGCATCAGAATTGAAAGGGGTGAAGATGCGACATCAATTGGGAGCTTCCCAAAATGAAGGGCACCTCACATGCGCCAATGGGTGCCTTGTTGCCAGGGCCTCAGATTGAAAGTCCAGTTGAGTTGGAACTGGATACCGAAGCTCGAGGCTCAAAGGTAGGCCATCGAAAGTTCTTATGATGACCGCCATGTATGAGAGATGCATGCACAAGGCCAGAGCATGCCGGAGCAGACTTCCGCAAGGAAAGCAAAAGAAGCATTGCCTGGAGGTTCACGGGTTGTTATAGGACTGTCATGTTTGATTTGTAAAGCTTGCGCTGCCCCTCCTGTCCGAGATGCGCGAGGGCCTGCCCGTAGTGTAGATGTTGAAAAAGTGCACGAGCTAGTCCAGTAATTACAAAGCAAAGCAAATCCTTGGGAGGCCTGACTGAAATGCAGAAGTAGACTGCCTTCATTTGGTAGTTTCCCAAAACAAGGGTACCCCAATATAGACCCCCAAATACTATAGTCCTTATTATGGGGACCCCCAAAAGGGTACCCCTAATTTTGGGAAACCCCTAATCCCTATAATCCCCTACATAAGCCCAGTTTCCATCTCATTTTCCATTTGCTTTTCCATTTGATTCTCCATTATTGGGGATATTTGGCTTTGAGGTACAGGCACTTTTTTGCACTAACAGCGGTCACTTTCACCTCCAAGCGCATTTTTTCAACCGTGAAGACATGTTCAAAAGGGTGTTTCCCAAAATTAGGGGTACCCTTTAAAGGGGGATACAGGGGTTATATAGGGTTTAGGGTTTAGGGATATATGGGGATTAGGGTTTAGGGTTTCCCAAAATTAGGGGTACCTTTAAAGGGGTTATAGGGATTATATACTGTAGGGGTTTTATAGGGGTAGGGATATATGGGGTTCAGGGTTTAGGGTTTCCCAAAATTAGGGGTACCTACTATAATGGAGAATCAAATGGAAAAGAAAATGGAAAATGAAATGGAAACTGGGATTATATAGGGTAGTTTATAGGGATTAGGGCATGATGCCTAGAGATGTTCCTTATGTGTGCTGATGGCACATAGCATGTGGCCATGCGCTGTTTGGCGTCAATTGCGCTGCTGGCGCTTGTCGCTTCAAGCTCAGAATTTCAGATTTCGATTCTTTCTGCGTTGAAGCCGCACAGCCACACGCAGAACTTCACCTGCGTGCACCCATGCAAGGTTTGCCTGGCAACATTGCATCTATGCTTGTTCACCGCTTGGTATTCCTTTGGCCGAAAACTCTTCACTCGAGTGGAGAACGTACACTTCAAGGAGTGGCTAAAGGAAAGCATATTCCTAAGCAATTTTAAGCCGAAACGACAACCCCATTTTCACGGTACTTGCAGCATGCAAGTGAACAGCGTGCATTCTGCAGAACAGCTGTCATGCAGGACGTTGAGTTGGCAATTCAGATTGCTGGCGCTCGGGCCACAGCGGATGGCAAAGCATTTGTTGGCCCCCGTGATCTCGCGCTTTTTTCAAGCAGGAGGTTCAATCAACACAAAACAAGTCAGGCATCTACCATCCAGGATGGGCAGCCACCATCGAAGGACTTGAGGGAAAAAACTCTCCCAGCTGCTCTTGTCATGCTACTCTGCGGATTTAGTTTACAGGTATATTACATAAGATGTGCGCACGCCTGCGTAGCAGCCCAGGCCTCCCTAAATGGGATGCACTCATTGTTATAATATAGTATAATCGACTTTGGTATTTTTTCATGTACTGTAATGTACTATAACAGTTATGACTACTATTATTACTATTACTATTTCTACTACATCTAGCAACAGCGCCATACCTGCCGGAGGAGAGGCGGCTTGCACTTCTGTTCATGTTGCGGACGAGCTTAGTGGACATGGATCTTTGGCGGAGGCCCTGAGGGTTCAAGGTCGTCGGGTTCCATGCAACATGATGGTGCTGATGTTTGAATGGCCCAGGCCTTTAGAGTAAATTTGATGACTCAAGGCTGGAGGTTCAGAATCTGGCCTACAAAGACTAGGTTGAGCGCAGTTATGACCAGTCCGCATGTGCCGGAATAGAAAGATGTACAATGTCAACATCAATATCAATGACAACAGCTTGCCCCTGGCAGGAACAATCCAGTACTGCTGGCACCGGTGGTTGTGGGTCAGGTAGTAGAGTCACAACTGGCTGGTAAGACAAAAAGTCTTCCGTGACAAATGCCAGAGCACGAGCATTGGCCGCATGTGGTTTTGACTTGCGTCCACGGCCTTACGTTTTGGGCAGCTGGCAAGCTGAAGCTAACGAAGTATTATCAGCAAAAAGCACAACCGTGGGGCTGGGAGGCGGAGCAGATGGTCCCAGGCAGCACAGCTTGCCTTCCTATAACAGCAAACAAGCTGCTCCCAAAAAGGCTCGCAATGTGCAGGTGGTTCCAGGTGGCGGACGACAATGGAGGCATGGTGCTCAGTTGGCACTGGAACACTTAGTTGGTGGATTTTGCGATGAAATTTGTGACTGGATAGTTGTGGCTTAGCAGGCTGAGATCTTAGCTGTAGTGCTGTTGCTGAGGTCAATCCACTGAACGCCGGGTGTCCTTGTACTTTCATTTGGCAGATGGATTGCAAGCAGCAGGCGCGTTGTGCGGATGTCCACAACCGGTCTGATTCGTGGCAGCGTTTCTTCATATTCCAGAACATGTTGTCTTGGGCCTCTCTGAGTGTGCAGCAAGAACCTGTTCATGGTGAGACCTTTGCACCTCAGTCGCTAGAGGCGATAGAGTAGTAGTCTTGAACGTGCGGAGCTTAGAAGACCTCAAGTCATGGGATGCCCCCGGAAGGTGCAGATGTGGTGGCGGAGCTTCAGGCGGGATTGCTTGTGAGCCCACGCTTCAGCTTTTAGAGGCCTCTATGCTGCCGAGAGTCTTCAAGACTTTCCTTACCAAATGGCACTACCTTGTGAACGGAAGGAAGGTAAGAGTAAGACCGCGTCCGCCGTACCGCTTCGGCGTGCTGTATGAGGTTCATGTACGAGACGAAACCAGGAGGGTGTAAGGATGTGTCTGCAAGTCTTTTCCCTCTGAGTTTGCGAGAGACATTCAGCTCAACTAGCCCCAGACCCAAACTGGAATCTTGAAAGCTTTGCAGCCTGGACAGCATCTGAATTGAGGGCCCCAAATCTTCAGCTCTGAGCCACGTTGCCAAACTTACCCCACCCCCAAAACCGTTCCAATAGCCTTGTTCCTACTCGGAGGCACTCCCGGGAGCCAGGAAGATCTTGAGCCCAGCCTGTACCTTGGGATGGAAGAGACATGCAAAGACTAAAATAAAAATAGTAGGTCCTCCGGATTCCAATACCCCAGTAGTACCCTTTTTAATTTGGGGTCTCTTTATCAAAGCTCAAGGTTAGAGTGCACTTTTTATTAAGGGGGTACTGGGGAACCTAAGACTGCAAGAGACAGCCAGGAGGCCAGCGGATGCATTTGTGATGCTGGGCCAGCTGTCAGTCAGGTTGCAACCGGATGGTGCGAACTTATGGCTGCCGAGGCCAGTGGATTTTGTGGTTTCCCAAAATTAGAAGTACCATTTTAGGGGTCCCCGTAATAAGGATTATAGTATATTGAGGTCTATACTGGGGTCCCCTTATTTAGGGAAACTACCATTTAGGTTTTAGGGTTTAGGGGTTACCCTGCCCAGATATTTGTGCAATTTGTGCAGCATTTGCGGTCCGAGGGCTCAGTCCCGAAAGCAGCTTTTCCGCTTGCAAGCGACCAACATAGCAGCATGCCGCGGTACAGACAAAGGTTCTGGCTGAGCACACTTCAATAGTTCTGGGAAACAAGGTCAACATTCTCTCCTGAGAGATGGTCCAGCAAATCCCGTTTGGCGAACACAGTGATGAAAGGTGGAAGACCGGCTGCTGGCCCATACGTTCTATCGCTGCTGAACTTCATTGTTGTGTCTCTTTGGTGGCAGCGCAACATTGTCCACCTTTCGACACGGTGAAGATGCAGGTGGCTTTAGGGCACAGCACCCCGATTTCGTGATTGGCGTGTTGGTCCCGCGGCCATACTGCGACCGGTGGGAATCGTTTCAGTCGTGACTGCAGTCATCAGGAATTGCAGGCATACGCAATGGTGGCGACTGATGTCAAGTCTTCAAGCTCTCATCGATCCTCATCTGGGAGGACTAGGGAAAAAAGCCTTGGTTCAGCCTGCAATGAGGTTCCTGATGCGGCGGATGTTTTTTCATCCCTGTCCGATGTTACAGTTACAATTGGCTGGCATGCAAACACCATCCTCTCTACATGGAAGAATCCTCAGGCACTGCACAGGGTCCTGTTTTGATCTGTTTTGCAAATGGGCCGCAGCCTGCATAGTTGGAACAGGAGGCCCCCACGATTTTGTAGATTGCAATAGGGGGCAATGCACTTCCGTAAAATAGGTTCCATTGGTGTGAGCCAGAAAAGATCACACAGCTTGGTGGTGTTTGTGTGTGGCGCAATGAACACACAAGACCATAGCTTCTGAAAAATGATCTTGCACTTGGTTTGCAAAGTATTCCGTTGTGTTCCAGTCACCTCGGGCATCTCACAAATTGCCGATTCTATCCATGATGATGTGGTATGTGAAGGGCTCCCAACATTATTATAATTATTGTTACTAGCAGACTAGCATTACTAGTACTGCTATCATCGTTATTATTACCGGTGCGAATATTCTTTTTGCTGTTATGACTACGTAAAGTGCAGATGCCGTGGAGGTAGCGCTGCTGCAAGCCGCTCTGTTGGATGATCCTGGCGCTGAGATGTTTGTCTTGCTGCCACACGATGCCGGGATCTTAGAGGCTGATAGGTGCATTAAAGGTAATTACAAGGAGTCATATAGTGGATATACATATATATGTGTATATACATAATACGTTACATGCACAAGTGGCAATGGAAACAAATTTCTGGCAGTATGGACCGTCATAGTCATAGCCGACATAGTCGTACCGAGTCAGGCCAAGTTGGGGGGCATTTGCAGAAGTATTGCCAGAAGTCGCAGAATAAAATGGCGGGGCTAACGATCCTAGGGCTGTCGCATTGAATTGGTAAGCCTAGGTAGTTCTGAGGACTTCTGTCGATAAATTCCAAGTAGAAGCTCGCGACAGGGGCAGCCCGCTGCATTCCTTTAATGGCATCTGTCCCATGCATCTTTCTTGTATCGAATGCCTTTGCATGCCGCAGCCCTTAGCAAAGCCCACGACCAGTGGGGGAAGCTCTTTGCAAAGATGTGTTTCTTCCCGACTGACAGGCAGGGAGTGCGACAAGTAGGTCAGCTTGGGCCTCCTTCCCAATCCTGCGACCACCCAAAAATGTGTGTATGCCACAATTACGGTCACCTTATTCGCCCAGCATGGGAAATCCAAACTAAAAAGAGGCCATCATTTTGAGGATCTCCCATGTAGTGCTTGACAGGATACTCATGGACAAAGCTTCTGCCAGTGCCCTTCGGGGCGGCGTCGCAGCGGCAGTGGTGCAAGCGATCTGCGTTCCGTCCTTCATGTGGATGCCGCATTGCTCAACATGGCATGGAAAACCATGATAAACCCCTCCTTTGTAGCTTCTTCCTGGGCGTGTTCAGTTAACTGGCGAACCAACACTCCTGCTTTTCAACATCGGGTGACCCATGACCCTTGAGTCCAGGCGAACCGTGACGAATTATCAGTACCGGCATGGTGGCCGGGTTTTGGAGGTAGCTCGCAGACTGTATGCAGAGGGCGGCCCACGCCGTTTTTACCGAGGCCACCACGTGTTCGATCAAATTTCATCTTAGGACTATACACCCTGCTGTTGCTAGCAGACAGAACATATGCAGTCAGGAGTCGTTCCCGCGCTGGTGCAGTCGCCAATCCTTCGATTTGGCGGCTTGCCATCAAGCCAGGCTTTGTCGTGTTTGGACGCTACAGAGCTGACATGACAGTGGCATGGAGGCCACCGAGACACCCCTGTAAGCTGCCCAGATGTTGCTAAGAATTATTGGCAGTTGACGAACCCAGGCGGTTTGGCAGTCAATGAGGGCCTTCTTTCAGTGACAGCCGGGACCTTAAGGCTTTCTTTTGTCATGTGGCCGCAGGCTCTGCATATCGGCAGTTGAAACAGATTTGTCAGGAGCCCTAGACTACGTGAGTTGCTGAAGTCGTGTGTAACGTGCTTTCAGTGGTTACTGAGCATCTGCACACTGCCTCTTGGACACTGGGAATTTGCATAATGCAAATGCCGGGGCAGATAATAAGGATCAAATCATATCCGATGTCTGGGCATGTTTTTTTTCGAATTAGCGGCTTCAATGGCAACATGAAGCATGTTTCAAACACTAACAAAACAGGATAAGGCCCACACTAAAACCTCGTGATTCTGAGGCCAACTCCGGCTTATCTCACACAGCTACAGCAGCTTTGTCCTCAGCCGCTGCCACAGGGCTGAAGGTCCTCCTTATGCCACTTGACGCGTGGCAAACTGCACCTCGGTCTACATCACGGATTCAGGGTTTTGGGCAATTACCAAGATAATCCTCGTCCTCATCATGTCATCCCCAAGAGGGCTGCTTTGAGATACTGCCACACTAGTGATTGTAAAACCAGATCGTTCAGAGCAGCGATATGCGGAGGAGTGCTAAAGCTGCTAAAGCAAGAAAATCAGAAGCGGTAGTAAAAGCTCGAGATTGAGGCAGCAATAACAGTTATCATGGCAAGTACCTGCAGCAGTTTCTAGAGCGCATTTCTTGCATCAGTATTGCACTGGCGTACAGCGAAACGTGTTTGACATTTCTGTGGGCAGAATGTGATTTGAAGACATGCAGCTAGACATCGCGTGCTTATAGCTACACCGCACATTCACACACACAGATATATATATATATATCTGTATAGATCTATCTATCTATCGACCTATCTATCTATCTATCTATCAGAACGATCCGCAACATCAGTTCCTATTGTGGGCACGTAGCTGTTGTTGTGAGGGGGCCGTAACAGCTTGATTGGCACAAAGTCCTGAAAAACTCCTTCCGGCTAAACTGGGTTGCTGGTAAGGAACTTACTTTAACTTACTATCTTGGAGAACCCTATTAATTACCATGTATACCCACTGTGGAAACTTAATTTAAGTTCCTTCCCAGCAACCCGGTAAAGTGTCCTAATTTTGCACCACGCAAGGCAAAGCAAGTGAACGGCAAGCAGGGCCTGGCAATTCTGCTGGCAGAAGCTGGGTTGTTTTCAATGAAAGCTGAATAAGTTATCAGAACATGGGTTTATAGTAAATGAACCCACTTTCCCCATAATGGCAACTTAGCTCAAGTTCCTTAAGTCCTTATTATGTAGTCCCATATAACCAGATTCCATGGTTTTTTCCTCATTCTTTTCCATCAGATTCTCCCATAAAAACTTAACCCAAAACCCTACAGTACCCTTCAACAGCCCCTACATAACCCTACAACCCCTAGATAGCCCTGTAAGAGCCCCTTTCTAACCCATAACCCCCTATAACACTTTAACAGCCCCTCCCCTATGACCTTGCACCGCCCCTTTGAAACCCTTATATGAGCCATAGCCTAAACTAGGGATTATATAGGGGACTACTATAGGAGGGTTTAGATTTTTGCTCACTTTAACCCATTCAAATTCCTTAAAAAGCCACCCAGGAAGCCAAAAGGCGACCCCTGAGACTCTGGCGAGGCACTGCAGGACAGCAAACGTCTTCCTAATCTGAAGACTTGGAGGTTCATAGGGGGCTCTACCAAAATTAGGGGCACTCTCCAAAGGAATCATAGGGGTTATATGGTGATACTTGAGGATATCATATGGGGGTTATGGCTTTACCAAAATTAAGGGTAACTTTCTTCGAGGTCTCCATAATCATAAGGGTTACAGCATTTTGGGCATATATTAGGGCCCCAATATTTTGGGAAACTGCCACTTGAAGGGATTTAGGGAAAAGGAGGATCTATAATATGGATATATAGTAGCAATTATACTAGCAGCTGCACTCAGGAAGAAGGCCTGAATGATAACTACTGTGGGAATGAGTTTGCTTTTTCCCAAAATACAGGGACCCTAACATAGACCCCAAAATATTATAATCCTTATTATGGGGGCCCCCAATAGAGTACCCCTAATTGTGGAAACCTCATTTATCGGTTCGCATCCTGCCCTGGGCTTCTTCGGTCTTTGTGCTGCCAATGCCTTTGACAGGTGAAGCCCCTGCGGTAAACAGTTGAACCGGCTACGGTACATGGCCAGGACATGATTTACAGCTCATGCGCAGGATGTCTGACTGGAACATGGATAGCTCACTACGCGTGGTGCTTCACCAACAACTGGCTCCACGACGCTTTGCCGAGATCAGCCTTCGGCAACTCCGAGACAGCAAGGACGCGAGCACATGCTTGCGAAGTGATCATTTTGCCAACGGAGGAGGCAGGCACCCTAAAAGGGAAAGAATTGCATCATCGCTGAAGGAGTGCCAGCATTGGGTTTGCAGCAAACGTCGCTGGCGATTGTTGTAGCAACTTTCTCCGAGCAGCTTGCTTCAATCAAGAGTCAAGGCTGTGGTAGGTTTCGTGTATGCATATGTTGAAGAAGCCGAGGTATTAAAAACGATCCGGCAGACTGCTGGAACTTCCGTTACTTACCAGGGGGCGATCAAAGAGTTGCTTCAAAGGGAAGGAGTACGAGGTCCGTGGATCCCTTCCAGTGAGACCTGATAGTAGGAGAAGGGCGTAGGGTATATCGCAGAATAGAAGTCTGACCTTCATTGTTCAAATGCCGAGTTGTTAAATTGATTGCACGCAGCTTCTTCCGATGTCTCCTCGGCAGGCTTGTTCGGACGAGGCCTTCCAACTAAAGTGGCATCAAGTGGATTGCAAGGAGCTGCGCTCGCCTCAGCTTTTTTCGCCAGCATCCAACATGGGAGGAGATGTCCAACATTGTCGGGTCTTTAGTGGCAGGTGCTAGTGTCAGCGCTTGCTGGTCGGGTGCATGGGAAAAAAGGCAGCTAAGGCGAGCTCCCTTTTCTGCTCCTACATTTTGCTACAGATAAGGTCAGAGCACACAGGGCAAAGTGTCCAAAGCTCAGAGCATCAGCGCAAGTAGCCTGCTCTGTGCTCAGGCTTTCCTCATCGGCTACGAAGCGGTACTCAGAAACATTGCCATTTGAAGGGCTCAAGAGCTGGACTGACAGGTTCTAGAGATGGCTGAGTAGCCTTGCTGGCATTGGCTTTTGGAAAATAGTATGTAGACCGCTCACACGCAAGACGGCTTGTAAATGCTCCCATTCGCAGGGACTGCGATCCGTCGATGCCGTCTCACGGAGCGGCTTTATCTTGTTTCACTTATCAGCTCCGTTTAAGTTGCTTGAGGACGGAGCAGTATTTTCAATGGCCCAAAGCTGCAGATCGAGGCACACTGCCAGCACTACGCGGTGGCTTTGACAGCAGTCAGCTACGTGCCGTTCAACACTGGGCTGCATAGGCGGTACTCTCCCAAAGTGTGTTCGGTTTCGTCTAACTGTTTCAGGGTAAATTGAGACTTCTCGCGTCGTTGTGAGGTTCAATTTTGAGATGACTTGCGGCGGATACAGCTAGCAAGTCGTGTTGGGCGGCAAATGTCCATAAATTTGTGTCTTTTCTTTGTACAGATCGCAGCACCCGGCTTTGGGCTTCTTGCATGCCGTTTCCTGCGCCCCTTCCCATTTTGGTATCGGCGCAAGGATCTCATCTCAATGTAGATACAGATTGGGTCTGTGCGTTTGATGTACAGCATTCCACGGGGTAAAGCCTTCGAGTTTCGAGGCACCTGAGAGGAAGAGCCAGAGCTCAGCAAGAGCTCTGCTGGGAGGACAGACCGAGGTGGCGCGAGGACTTCCCCACGCCTGCCTATGACAGGCATGAGGATGACAGGATACGACCTTCCCGACCGCCACTCTTCAGAACAAAAGCATGTGTGGGCTTGGGCCAGGATTTCCCCAAGTTCAATTCCTCGTGTGCGACTTCCAAGTAAGGTTTCCTTACTCTTTGGGACCCTAAAGAACCACGATTGTTGCAGGATCTCCCATTTTTAAGGGCATGCTTCATGAGTTTGCCGCGCGTGGTCCGCCCAGGCCACCCCGCTTTGGCCTCTCCGTGCCGAACTTAAGATCCTTTAGGTCTTGATACATGAGGTCAAAACCATTAGATGCAGACGTTGTGAGAAGTGCATATGGCATCAAAATTATGCGATTACAAGATTAGAGTCCCTCTTTCACCCCCAGGTAGTCGGGTCCTTACAGTCCTTGCGGTCCTTGCCATGCGGATTGAGAAGCAAGCGCATATGGCACAAGAAGTACGTGATTACAAGCTTAGGGTCCCTTTTTAATTAGTGCCCGGGTAGTCGGGTCTTTACCGTCCTTACCACGCGGATGTTGTAAGGCCACGCTTGCATTGGGAGTATGCGGCACAGCGTTGCAGCACTGTTTTGTGTGGAAGGGATTGGATTCTCGACCGCTCTGCGAGCCCAGGTAGCGTTGTGTCGGGCTCTTACAATGTTCTCGCAGTAGTATTGTACTCATCAAGAAGCTGGATCCCTTTTTGTACATTCTGAATCTAAATTGACTTGCCAAGAAGGGCTTACAGAGTTCGTCCACCGTCCATACCTCCAGCCCGAATCAGACATTGGTAGTTTCCATAAATAGGGGAACCCCAATAGACCAAAAGGATTATATCTCTTAATATGGTGCGCCCACAGGGGACACCTAATTTTTGGAAACCCGAATCCTTATAACTTTCACTGCTAGCATAAAAGCCCAGATTCCATTTCATGTTCCATGCTATCCCTAAATAATCCCCGGAAACCCGGATAGTACAAACCCTGCATCAGCCAGGAAATTTGGGTACTGCCCCGACTCATTATCAGTTGGTAATAATGTTAAGAAAATATACATAGCCCTTCATATGAGTCGGGCCAGGACCCAACCTATAATGTTCCCGCTCCCCGGGTCAGACACGTTGGAAGCATGGGCGGTTGACATGAACCTCCCAGAATTAAAGTTTAGAATTTTGGGGTTCTGGCTGCTGGCCTCTGCATTTAAGGATTGTCGTTCTTGAAAGTATCCGCAGCGTCCAGGTGCATTTTTTGCTTTGGGGCTACCTTCGGAAGAGAGATCTATGTCGTAACTGGCCAACAGAAAGTCATTATGAAATGGTTCGCCACATTGCCGCAGAACTGTTACGGGTGTTTTTGACGCCGTCATCTTCCTGTCAGTTTAGGACAATAGCTTTTGCCCCAAGCTTTGCCCCAATGATGTTCTCGCAAGCAAGGAATGAAGACATGGACTGTTGGGACTTTACGTGGATGTGTACCGTCATTCCCTTCTAACAAGAGGCGACACTGTGAGTACTTGAGGTATGCAATCCCCTCAAGCCAATACCAACTATGCACGCTGGAAATTCCACAAGTTCTCCTGCTGGAGCAGCCCCAAAAGGGCACGAAGCCCTCGCGCCTTGCCGAGGAGCGCGCTGCTCGATCGCGATGGGGAGCCAGTGCACAAGTCCAAGCATGCCAGAGGGCGAGCTTTTCGAGATAATGCACGCCTAAATTCCTTCTTTGGTGGCAAGTACCTTGGGAATCCTAGAGAAGTGTCCAGCGTTCTCACGGCGAAAAGAACACATATAGGCAGAGGAAGAAGAGGATCTAATAGAAGTCAGTCTGAAGAACTGTTCCGGGATGGTAGAGCGGTTGTGCAAGAAACGACTCGAGAAGGAAGGAAGTTGGAATGCCACAACCTGCCAAGTGAAAATCAGAAGGGTTAAGAGGCATCGAGGCAAAGTTGTGTGGGGCAATCAATACCCACCACACCATGCCAAGGAATCCATGGCATCGGCAAAGGCAGGGCTCAGCTCAGTGGGAAAAGCCGAGCTCTGAAACAAAATTGAAAAACGGCGCAACATTAGAGCTGTACAAACTGCACACCCAGGAGCAATGAAAAACCAGCCGAATTCAGAACCAGCCAGCAAGGTGCAATCCAAGGGCATGCCGAGTCCAGCGCTACAGGCGACACAGGCCCCCCTAAGGGATCCCTAAGCCAAGTCAAGCCATGCATGCCGTGTCCAGCGCTACCGATGGAGCACCGAGCCAGAAGGCCCAAAAACAGCCGCGCGAGGCATTACAAGTTCCTGGCAGCTGCGAGGCAAATTGCCACAGGGGAGGCGTAGCTCCAGAAATATGGAAGTGGATTCAGTAAGCGGCGTGGGAGACAAGCGCTGCGAAGCAGGTAGTCGATCCCAAAGCGAGCCGAAGCCCGCTGGCATGGTCTCCTAGGCTCAGCACCTTCAAGCATTGAAGGCCCGGGGGCACCACGTGGAGGCGGGAGACCGCCGCCCCCGAAAGGACTCGAGACGCAGGTTGGCTGCACTGATTAAGTTGAGGTTTCACAGGTTCAACTCAGCGCCCCTGATGGGACGCGAAGCCCCAAACTTGGGCGCTGTTGTCTTTTGACTGCGTGCATGTCTGGGGCCCTGGGGGAGTGCGACTAGTGACTGGTTTGCTGTTCAGGAGCTTAAAAAAAGGTGCTATGATGAGGAAAACTTATTGTTTACTATATACCCGCATTATGGTAACTTCGCTCAAGTTCCTTAACAGCAACCCAGAATAGTATAGCTGCAAGGCTGGCTTAAGGCTGCCAAGGAGCTACCTAGAAGCTTCCCACAGAATTAGGGGTACCTTTTTGGGGGGATCCCCATAATAAAGATTATAGTATTTTGGGGATCCATATTTGTGATCCGTTTATTTAGGGAAATTACCCCCTATAGCTACCCTCTTGTTGGATGTGCCTAAGCTGGGGCTTCGAGACGGTGCCGTGCGATGCTGCACAATGCGTATATTGAAGCCCCAGGTTAAGGGTTTAGTTTCTCAAATTTGGGTACCCTTGAGAAACCCAGTCATGTGTAAAGAGGTTATAAACTATAAGCGGATTATGAGGGTCCCCCCTTTAGGAGTATGTAGGGATTTGTTTGAGAAGAATCCTAACCCTAAATAGTAGTTTCCATGTTCTTTTCCATTCTCCCCACATAACCCCTATGTAAGCCCAATATAGCCGTATAAAACCCTATAGAACCCCCATAAAACCCTTTGTAATCACTATAAACCCCTATATAAC